GAGAGGCGGCTGGGAGCAGCCGGGCTCAGTGGCCTCACAGGCTCCCCTGCCCGCCCGCCGCCCACAGGGATCAGCTGGAAACCGCCGGAGTACAAGGAGCATGACTTCCGCATGGCTCCCAAGTTCCTGACGCCACTGCTGGACCGCGTGGTGGTGGCTGGCTACACGGCTGCTCTCAACTGCGCCGTCAGAGGCCACCCCAAGGTGCGTGTGTGTGTGTGTGTGTGGGGGGGGGGGGGGACGACCCTGGCGGGGCATTGTCAGCAAGATGAAGCCCCTCCCCCTCCCATCACAGCCCCTCTGCCTCTCAGGCTTGTCTCCTCTCAGTTCATGAAATTTGCTCCCTTTTAACCAGCTGGTCAAACCCACCTGCCACCAGTTTCTCTAAATAAAGTTTTATTGGAACATGGCCCTGCACACTCGCTTGTGTGTTGGCCAAGGCCGCAGAGAGCTCAGGGCCCACTGTCCTAAAATAGTGACTACCTGGCCCTTTGCAGCCGAAGTTTGCTGACTTCCGGTCTGACTTCCAAGTTGTTGTTTTTGTTAATCTTCACCAGAGGAGATATATATATTTTTAAAAATATGTTTTTATTAATTTCAGAGAAGAAGGAAGAGGGAGAGAGAGAAACATCAATGATGAGAGAGAATCATTGATTGGCTGCCTTCTGCATGCTCCCCACTGGGGATTGAGCCTGCAACCTGGGCATGTGCCCTTGACCGGAATCGAACCTGGGACCCTTTAGTCTGCAGGCCGACGCTCCATCCACTGAGCCAAACCGGCCAGGGCCAGAGGATATTTTTTACATTTTTTTTTTTTAGAGAGAGAGTGAAAATGAGAGTGGGGAGGAGGAGAGAGAGAAACATTGATGAGAGAGAGACACATTGATTGGTTGCTTCTCACATGTGTGACCAAGGCTGGGGATCAAACCTGCAGTCCAGGTACGTGCCCTTGACCGGGAATCGAACCTGTGACCCTCTGATTCGTGGGCTGACACTAACCATTGAACACAGCGGCCAGGGCTGCCTTTCACATTTTTAGCTTTGGCCCCGGTCGGCACACCGTGGGTTCATTAGTTCACCTCCTCCACCTCCATCTATCTGCTCATTCGTGGCCTCCACTCATTCATTCACCCCATGCGGCCATAATCGGGAGGCGGCACAGCCAACGTGAGGACTCAGACCTCCCGCCCAGGGCCCGTTCTCCACGGCCCAGGCACCCTCTCTGAGCTGCCCGCCTCCCCTCCCCCCTCCGCAGCCGAAGGTGGTCTGGATGAAGAACAAGATGGAAATCAGGGAGGACCCCAAGTACCTGATGACCAACTACCAGGGGATCCTGACGCTGAACATCCGCCGCCCGTCCCCCTTCGACGGGGGTACCTACACCTGCCGCGCGTTCAACGAGCTGGGGGAGGCGCTGGCCGAGTGCAAGCTGGAGGTCCGAGGTGAGAGCTCGTGCCCTTTGCAAAGCGACGGGAGTCAGACCCTCTGGGGGGTGCCGGGTGGCGGGGAGGAGGCCGCCCGGGGCGTCGAGGGCAGGGCGGGGGCACCGGACCAGCCTGGGTAGTGTCCCAGGGGAGATGAAGGGCAAGAAAGAAGCGAGTGAGGAGAGCTTAGCAAGTGACCGCTGAGGCCCCCAGTGGGAGGCGTGCGGACACAAACATGGGTTACGGCAGAGGCCCCGGGGCTGCGGGAGCCCAGAAACACGCCTCCCTCCTGCACAGGCTGCCCCAGGCTGTCCCCCCTCGGCCCACAGCCCCAGCTGTTGGTCCTCTTCCTTCTGAATGCTCGCCCGCAGCCACCCACCTCCGTGTCTCTCTCCAGCCCACCCCACATAGGGCCCCGAGGACACTCTGTCCAGGGGTGACCTGCCCTCCAGGGGCTCCCCAGCAACCCAGGCGCCCCTCAGCCTGGAGTCATGGTCCTGCATCTGACCCCCTCTCCCCCCGCCCCTCTCTGGCCTCATGTACCCCCGTTTTTCTCCACGCTGTTCTGGCCACACCGAGCTGTTGGCAGTAGGTCAGACCGACCGTGCTTCCTCCTGGCCCTGGGCCTTTGCACGTGCCATTCCCTCCACCCAGAACACGATTCCTCATCCCCCTCTCCGCCACTCTCTCCCCGCTAGTCTCTGTGGGGAGCCTGCTATCCAGGTCCCTCCCCTACTGGGACTTCCCCTGGCCCGGATGACAGCCCGGCAGATGGAAGGGACCCTCCACAAGGGCTGAGACCTCAGTCACGCCCCCAGGCCGCTGTCCCCTTTATCAGCTGTTCATCAGCTCAGAAAGACCCCCATCCAGGGTTCCGGGGTCAGCCTGTTGCCAGCCGCTGCTCAGAAATCCCTGCTCAGATAGCAGGTCCCAGTTTGGGGTTCAAAGCTGCAGCCCTGGCCGCCGGGTGGCACCGGCAGAGATGAAGGTGGGGAGCCGGGCGGTGAAGGGGAGACGGCTCCTCCTGCTGGACAAGCGAGTCCAGCAGGCGGCGGG